TGTATATTGATACAAATTTAAGGTTATTTTTGTTAGAACATACTGTACATACATTTCTACCTCTTGTTTAAGGTGTTGTACCTATGAAGCTCATTTAACAATGTAATATAAATTTCTAGTCTTTGCAATTTATTATTACAAACTATTTAGAAAAATAAATACAGGTTAGTAGTTAGTCACCTATAACAATCAAACTTGTAGTCATGTTAGGTATGTTTTCAAGGTCAAACATATATTTTAGATAGATGGTCTTCAAACACTTTTAAGACTTACAGAATATAATATTTAAAATGTTTTGTTAAAACAGGGCTTTTCATGACAATGAGATATCTGCTCCTGGCAGCACCAAGTTACTTCAGAGAAGATGATGGGCATCAAAGAAACTCCATATGGAGTTTGCTTTCAATGTGGCAAACTAGCCATTCGGTCAAGAAACTGCTCTTGTCTTGACTGCTAATGGTGTGCTGTACAAACTGGAAAAGCAAGACACAAAGGAAAAAGACTGCTGAACTTTGCCAAGACTAGGTGGGGCAGTCCTTCAGAATTCCTGCTTTACAAACGAGTCTGATAGATATTCTAGGCCTGGAGGCTGAAGATTGGATGCCCCAGTGTTACAGAGGAACCTTGGGTGACTGTCCAGGCAGCCAGATGTCTGTCATTTCTGTAGTTTTGGAATTGGCTTGCACTGCACTTCCTATACTCATGTAATAATATATCCTTCTGGAATATCCTTTGATGGAGTTGAACACTAGGTAGTTATGGTTGCAGTTTTCCTTAGTTATGATAGAAGGTAAATTAAGTACAGAGCTTTGGACTCATCAAGATGGAATAAATAATGGAGTATTTTCTCCAAATATGCCAAATACAAATGGACTGGACATTGTAAATATAATTCTTACCTGATATTTGCTCTTATTATGCAGGAGGTCATAGACGTATACAGCAGGTGACAACTAACATTTAAAAGGTTAACCCACCAGACTAATAACTCTCTGTTGGTGAACCCTACTAGGCAAAGTCCATGGGGGTCACTGGCTGTGGAAACTGCTTGTTTTCTGTGTGTAACTTTCTCTTGTGCCACCACTGACCTCCCAAGAAAGAACAGCTTTGGGGTTCTTCACACAGCCCATTGGTGGTGTGTATTCCATCTTTGGGCACACTTATAGTTGTGGATGGTCAGGAAGATGATTTCTGTTTAAGCTGTATAATTTTGATGACTAGAAATAATACCAGAATATTTTTTTTTACTGATGCAGGAAAGTAACAGCATTTTCAGTCTCAAAGACAGCTAATTTTAGACTTCAGAACAAATTCAAAACAGACTAAGCTGTCCCTGCAGAAAATACACAAAAAACTAGTTCTCAGGTGTTTATTGCTAAATCAAGATCAGGCTGTTTTCATTGAGACATAATCCCTTACAGTAATTGACTGCACGTACTCACAGGCTCAAGGTTCAGCCAACTGTTTACTTTCTGTCTTGGAGCTCTCGCCAACTTAGAGCTATGTGTATGGCCACGTGTTACACTGACCAGTCAGCGTGATCTTCCTAGGCTGAGAGAAACTTACCATGTGACTTATTATGTGTTATTAGAATGGATCGGACCCTGAAAATGTAACATAGTATCATCCAGAGTTTGGCTGAGAGAGAGAGAAGGAGGAATGAGAGAGTATGTGAGCATGTATGTGGGTGTGTGGAGGGGAACTATGAAAAGCTATGGAGAGAACTGCTGGGAAAAAGAGCCGAGTGTGTGTGGGTGTGTGCTGAGGAAGGGATATGTAAACTATGTAAAGAGCAGTGAGTGGTGTGTGTGTGTGTGTGTGTGTGTGTGTGTGTGTGTGTGTGTGCGCTAAGTGAGGGCTACAGCAGTATGGGCAAAGAGAAAATTAACAGTTTCTTGAGTAGGGAAAGAGTGAATAAATGATGTAAAAATATGTGAAGGAGTGTTACAGAATAGAGAGAAGAAATGTATACAAAAGAGAGATGGGTAAAAAAGAGATGTAACTGTGCAAAAGAGGTACGTGGATGTGTGGAGAATTTATGGAGAATTTACCCATATGGAATGCAACTTGGCTGTATGGAGAATGTAACAACGTGGGATGTATCTATGTGGAGACAGAGATTTACTGAGAGGATTTTTTTTTTTTTTTTTTTTTTTGGTTTTTCGAGACAGGGTTTCTCTGTGTAGCTTTGTGCCTTTTCTGGAACTCACTTGGTAGCCCAGGCTGGCCTTGAACTCACAGAGATCCACCTGGCTCTGCCTCCTGAGGGCTGGCATTAAAGGCGTGCGCCACCACCTCCCGGCCCTGAGAGGATTTTTTAAGATGAAGTAAAAGAGTAAGTTACCTTCAAAAAGTGTGAAGGTTTCCTTATTTTTCCCCTCAGAAAAAGTGTAGCCCTCAGATAGATAAGAATTTTTCCTAAGTCCTCTCTGCCTTTGTGGATTTTTTTTGCATACCCTGGTGGTATCTGGGGACTGGCCCCCAGCTATCAATATTATTGTTTATAGTTTTATTGTGTTAGAGTTAAAACCTTCCCTTTTCTTATTTTATTTTATTTTACAATACTATTCAGTTCTACATAACAGTCACAGATTCCCTTGTTCTCTCCCTTCCTGCCCCCCTCCCCAAAACCTTCCCTTTTTATTTAGACAAAAAGGGAGAAATGTTGTGGAATAGTCCTTTACACTGTGTGAAGATATGTCATTGTGATTGCTTTAATAGAAACCTAGTCAGCCAATAGCAGGATTTTGGGGACAGAGAGAACACTGAGAAGAAGGCAGAGTTACCAGCCAGACATGGAGGAAACATGACATGAAGGAGATGAGGTAACAAACCATGAGCCATGTGGCATCATGTAAATTAATAGAAATGGGTTAATTTAAGTTATACCAGCTAGTTAAAAACAAGCCTCGGCTATTGGTTGAGCTGTCATAGTTAATATGTCTCTGTGTCTTTTGTTTGGGAGCTGGCTGGTGGGACAGAGAAAAACTCACTACAAGAAGATTCCTTATAAAATAAAAGTTAGGCTAGACATCATTTTTAAAACTTTTTTTTTGTTTTGAAAAAAATTAAATTAGATATTCTTTAATTTGGGAGCTTTGGCAAGGTTCTCCGAGGAAAAGAAGGAACAAGATAAAGGCCCTTTATCAGATCATATAATTCTGATCTGAGAATTCCAGAAATATGGTCCTGATCATAGTAATGAGTGGACAGAGGCTGTGGAGGCCAATTGAAAACAAAGTTATTTAGCCATCAGTAAAACACAGGATTTGAACCCAAAGATTTCTACATCTGTAAGATAACACTCTCAAATTTTAATTATGCAAAATTAAAAGCAAACAAAATCTGAGGTACATTTCCCCATCTGGGTTCTCAACAATGTTAACACTTTGCTCTATCTCCCTGTGTGTGTTTGAGATATTCGCAGAAGCCAGGCATGGCAGTGCACATCTTTAATTCCAGTACTCATGGGGCAGAGGTAGGCAGATCTCTGAGTTGGAGGCCAGCCTGTTCTATATAGAGAGGTCCTGTGTATATAATTTTACCATGTTAAAATTAAAACCTTCCTTTTTAATTAGACAAAAAGAGGGACATCCTGTGGAATAATCCTTTTTTACCCTGTGAAGAGTTGTCACTGGAATTTGTTAAAAAACTGACTGGCTGGTAGCCAGGAAGGAAGTATTTCAGGACAACCAACCTAAGGATGCTGGGATGAAGAAGGGTGGAGTCAGAGGAGATGCCAGCTGATGCAGAGCAAGCAGGAAGTATAGAAAATGAGGTAACAAGCCATGAGTCAAGTGGCAGAAGATAGATAAGATATATGAGTTATTTTAAAATGTAAGAGTTAGCTAGTACAAGCCTGAAACATTGGTGGAGCATTTACAATTAATATGAAGTTTCTGAGTGGTTATTCAGGAACAGCTGCCCGCACAGGAAAACTCTGCCTGCACTTTAACACAGGGACCATTAGGCAACACTTGAGATTCAAGCTATGCCACTAAGTGACCCTGTGTGTGGGATTTCACCATGTCAGGAGGCCCATCAAGTTATATCAAGGGACTTCTACTCTAACTAAAGTATAAATGATTCCTAGTAGGCTATTTTCTAGGCCCATATTTCTAAATCTTTTAAAAATGTCTGTATTTAAATTATAAATAATGGTGGATTTCATTCTGGCATTATGGTGTTTCAGTTATATTCACAAATAGTTACCCTCTTTGTTACCCTCTCTGTTCTCCTCTCACTTCTGCTAATACCTTTCCTCTTCCAAACTAGCCCCCCTTCTACCGAAAGAGAGAGTGGGGGGAGAGGAACAAGAGAGGAGAGTAACCAAGATCCAGAGAAAGTCCTAATAAGCTTCATTAAGGTTGCTTATAGGGGTGTGAGTGAGCAAAGATTTGTTTACTGGAGCAATATCACAAAAGAAATATCTCTTTGCCAGACAGCGGTGGTGCATGCCTTTAATCTCAGCACTAGGGAGGCATAGGCAGAGGCTCTCTGTGAGTTTGAGACCAGTCTGGTCTACAGAGCAAGATTCAGGACAGGAACCGAAACTACACTGAGAAACCCTGTCTTGAAAAAAAAAAAAAAACAGAGAGAGAGAGAGAGAGGGAGGGAGGGAGGGAGGGAGGGAAGGAGGGAGGGAAAGAGGAAGAGGAGGAGGAGGAGGAGGAGGGGGAGAGAGAGAGAGAGAGAGAGAGAGAGAGAGAGAGAGAGAATCTTTTTCCTTCATCAGTCATTAACCTAAAGCTTTAGGGAGCAGTGGAGTCCATGATGGGTCCAGATTTTTTTTTTTTAATTATGCATGTGGATGTTTTGCCTGCATGTACATCTGTGCACCACTTATATGCCTGGTGCCCACAGAAGTCAGAATTGGGTATTGGATCCCTTGGACCTAGAGTTACAGATGGCTGTGAGTCATCACATGAAGGCTGGGTATTGTAAGGGGAGCCAGAACTCATAACTGCTGAGCCAACTATTCAGCCCTGGGTCCAGATTTTCAGTAAGTGACAGTCCTAAAGATTCTCAGCTCAGATTATATAAAATGTTTTTGTGTGATCTAAATATTCTAGTCTAGGGTAAGTAGTAAGATTTGTCATTGACTAAGGCGATGAAGGCCATTTGTCTCAAAATGTTACATGATTGCTTTTGGATGTTCCTGGAGACCCAGTCTATCAAAGCTTGATAGATGCTTAAGTCCATGTTACAAAGTTACAAAGTGTTTACATATAACCCTTACCTATCCTCTGCTATACTTTAAGACTCTGCAGCTTGCTTCAGACTGATATAATATAAAGGAAATATAAATTTAGTCACTGTTCTGTGTCATTTAGGGAATAATGACAGCTCTCTATGCATTTCCAGTAGGGATGCAAATTTGGATTTTTCACAAATATTTTCAATCCACAGTTGCAGAATCCTCCAGTGCCTGTCTCCAAGGGTGTATAGGTCATAAATTATAGCGTATTTATTTGTGCTGAGAGTTAATCTGATTTAGGGATAAGCATGATGCAGGGTGACAGCTCTGCCTGGCCCTACTTCCGTCCCTAACTGTGTGTCACCAGGACTCGTAGACCGCTTTGGGTTTCATTGATTGACATGTGAGAGGAAGGCCTTGCTCCAGCTTCCCTACAATTCCTTCAGATTCTTTAACATTGCACACCGATGAGACTGAATGTCAATATGTATTTATCCTTTTATGCTTAGACAATTTCATACACCCGTGTCTTAGTTTGCTTTCTTTTTAAAATTTTACTTATTTATTATCTTTTACTTTATCTATCTATCTATCTATCTATCTATCTATCTATCTATCTATCTATCTATCTATCTGTCTACTTATTTATTATTTTGTTTTCTATTTCTATGGTAAAGGCTGTGACCTAAAAAAACTTGGAGAGGAAGGGAAGCCAAGGCAGGAACTTGGAGGCAAGTGCCGAAGCAGAATCCCCAGAGAAATGCTGTTAAGTGGGATTACTCTCCTTGGCTTGCTCAGCTGGCTTTCTTCTACACCCCAGGACCATCAGGGCCATCAGCTCAGGGGTGGCACCACCTATAAAGGGCTGGATCCTCCCACATCAATCAAGAAAGAGCTCTGCCGACTCACCAATAGGCCCATCTGATGGAGTCAGTTCCTCACCTGAGGTTCCCTCATCCCAGACAACCCTAGCTTTTGTCACGTTGACAAAACAAAAATGTGGAATTCCGGGATCAAACAAGTCGGTGCCTGCGCCCTGAAATCTCTCAGAGACGCAGGTTAAAAAAAAAAAAGTGGATCCACTTCATACGGACAAAAGGTCATGTCGTTTGGAAACCCAGGAAGTCTTTTCCTCCCCGCCAGAAAGCTGGCGCCAGCATATGTTATTTTGCCTGTCCTCTAATAAACCAAGAGTTGTGCGACCTCTGCTAAAGCGATGTCCCGATCCCTCCCTGCACTTCCCCAGAGCGGGGGACTCTTGTATTTGAAGTGATAAGGCCTGCCCACCCCACTCCAACACATTTATGCAAATTAGGTGTATTTCATTTATTCCTTTGTCTTCAAGTTACATATAAACTAGACTGTTACCCCAGTAAACAAGCTGTCCAGACGCAGACTTCTTTGCTGGAATGTACTCAGGGCTGTCTGACACCCAAGTCTCTATTCTCCCCTGGGTCCTAAAACAGCCGGTGCACCTTGGCGCAGGGGGATGGATAACAACTCGAAAACAGCATAATGTAGAAGTTTTTGGTCATTTTTACTCCTGTTTACTTTCTCTCCGCCCTTTTCAGTCATATTAAACTCTTTTCCCCCACCAAAGCCTTTCTACTTACATGACTCACTCCCACCCTGTGTGTGTGTGTGTGTGTGTGTGTGTGTGTGTGTGTGTGTGTGTGTGTGTGTTTACTGAGCCCTGCTGAGTTTAATTGGGTTGCTTGCATGAGCATAGATACAGGATCATTATTGAAGATTCGGCAATTGCTGCTCCCCAGGGCTACAACAACACTAGTCCGTGTATCTTAAGGTAAAGAACACTGCAGTCCTTATGAGGCAAACACGCGAGTATCAATCATTCTGAAAGCAAAATGTTGCTTTCTGTTCTCTTATATAGAGAGTCCCTGCAATAAGGGCAACTGTGCATTCTGATCCAGCCCGCGGTGGATGAATGGTTGACCAATATTTTAACACACATGCACGCGGGAGCGTTCTAAGGCAGAGGCTGGCTGAACAGCTAGGGAATAAGGGGTGAAATACTAACTTAACAAAGGGCCAGCAAGTGAGAGGAATGGCTGTGAAGAGAGCAAAGGGAAGGTGTGACAGTTGGTGGTCACCTCTGTGCACTGTCTTGTCGCAGTGCCCTTTGTCCTTGAGGATCCGTGGCAAGGGGGCTCGTGGCGGTTTCCTTCTTAGAAGTCAGGTGAGGGAAGCGCATGGAATGCTGTTTTCATTGAGCCTGATGTATAGCCGGGAATCCCAGCGACATGGAGCACCTGAAGAGTTGAAAAGCAAACACATTGTAGTTGCTGGGGACTGAACTCCCGTCCTCTGCATGAGCGGTACAAGCTCTTAACCCCTGGGCCATCTCTCCAGCCCTGGTTCCTCTCCCCTTTATTTTAATTAACGAGGGATTTAGGAATTTCTTGTGCTAAGATTATTCTATTTTATGTCTTTGGGTGAATAATCAGGCTTTATCCTTACCTCTGGATAGTAGGAGGTGGAGGCAGGCAGATGGGGGGATGGGGACATGAAAACAGTTGGAAGGGTGACCCACTTCATCCAAAGAGAGCCATAAGCAATTAAGATAAGAAGTACGTAAGAGATTCCAAGCTATAACACTCAAGTTCTGGAATCCAAGTTTTCTGGCCTTTAGGGCATTCTGCAAAATCTACAAAGGTGAGTTATGTCTTGTTGGATGGATGTGGGCGGATTGGATTAGAGCATACAAACAGCTTGGTAGGTTGTTCTTGAGTATAATTTACTTCATTGTTTCTGGCCTGGTAAGTATACCCAGAGGGTTCATATTGATGTGTGTGATTGAACAAAACAAAAAACAATAAGGTCTTCATCGACCCGTGGTTTAATGGCTTTAAATAAATTAACTTCTTTTGGATCGATTCAACACACTGATGATATTTGCAATCTATTAACTTTTTAACGTTTCTCCCCTCAGTTACAACTTTAATATATAACTTTGGAGAAATCATTTTGCATTCATCAAGTGAAGGTATTATTTTCTACACACAGAAAACTTCAAAGTGCGTAGTCATACACATACAAGAAAACATCTCAAAGCAGGCTTGGGGCCTAACTCTGGATTCTACTTTTAAAAATTTGACTCTTTGGATTCTTTAGACTCTTTCATTTTTAATTAAAATAAGGTCTTTAAAAAATTAACAGTAGCTGGATGTGGTGGCATGTGTCTATAATCTCAACACAGGAGAAGCTGAGGCATGGGCATGATGTAACACATCAAAGTCAAGGCCAGCTTGGGTTAACTTGGAAGAAACTTTCAAAAAACTGAGGAGTGAGGTTGTATCTCGATGGTAAACACTTGCCTAGTGTACTCTAGGCCATAGATTCAACCTCCAGCACCAAAAATATAAGTAAATAAAGTTTACAAATTAAGTGTTTGATTCAAGGTACAGAACATGTTTTGGGGATCAGCTGTCAGTTTTGTAGCAAATTGTCTAACTCTGTGGCCTGAATTACAAACTTCCCTCAGGTCATACATCAGTATCCCCACCCCTCAGTGTGGTTCTATTCGGATATAAAGCTTCTAGGAGGTAATTAAGGCCAAAGAGGCCCTAAGAGTGGAGTCATAACCCATAGGATGTATGACTTTATTTGAAGAGGTAGCTTTCTCTGTGTCTGCACATACAAGAGGGGTGTATGTGTGCGCACAGGCGGCTGCTGGCTAAGGAAGACATCCATTAAGAGAAACCCAGAGAACTGGTGTGCTGGTCTTGGATTCCTAGTCCCAACCTGAGAGAAAATTAATTTCTCTTTTGTAAGCCACAGAATCTGTTTTGTTGTGGCTGCTCAAGCATACTAATACAGTAAGGTTGAGCATGTTATGTGTATAATGTTTCTTCTGGGCCTCAGCTTTTGGACACACAAAATGTGTAGATTGGGCTAAATAAACCCAAGTTGTCTTTCAGTTCTAGCATTAATGATTCTAACTGAAAATAACCAAAAGAACAATTCAATCTGAGTTTCTAGTTCTCAGGAAGACTATAAATCAGCCAAAGAAATTGTATGCACTTTACCTAGATACACCAATTGTTAGTATTTTTTCAACTTTTCATGTCTACATGTATATGCATATTCACATATAAAATATTATGAGTTACTGTTATTCTTTTGTCTATGTTCTGAACCATTTGAGAGTTAATACTCCCAAATATGATCCTATGCATTTCCTAATAACAAGGATCAGTGGTCACTTAAATATGGCTGCCAACCTTGGGAAAGTCAACAGACTGATTCACCAACTGTCCCAAGTACTTCCTTTTCCACTTGTGTGAGAGCTAGCTCTCAATGCCAAGTTGCACTGGGATGTCATGTTTCTTTAATGTCTTTACATGGTGGTGATAGCATGGGGGGGGGTGGGGAGGTCCTCAGCCTTTTTTCTAGTATCTTCTAGAAGGGCTTTTGCTTGGCAATTATTTGATACTACTCATGGTAAAAATCCAACATATTTATGTCTGGCTTGATTCTATGCAAGTGTGTGGGTCTTGGGGCACATGACACCCCAATGCTCTTCATTGCTGATCTTAACAATGATGACCAAGCCAGGCGTTGCTGGATTTCTTCACGGTGCAGCTTTTACTTGTCCCCCTTGCAACCATTAAATAAGCTACGAAGGGCACCTGTGAAGCTTTGTGTTTCTGGCCTCATATAACGTTACCCACAGAGGCCTGACATCCACAGAGGACTCTTCGTTTCCCCCCTTTGTCGTCATCCTTTCGTTCCTTCCTTTTCTGAAACAGAGACTCATGTCTCCCATACTGGTCTTGAACTTGATATTTTGCTGAGGCTAATCTTGAACTTGAGATTCTCCTGCCTCTACATCCTGAGTGTTTGGATTGCAAGTATGTATCAGCACACATGGCTTCATGCAATGCTGGGGGATCAAACCCAGGGTTTTATGCATGGTTAGGCAAGCACTCTTCATAACTGAGCTACATTACCAGCCACTCGTTCATTGAATGAGTCTTTATTATGACGCCTGGAAAATGGCAATTTCCGGGGCCACCACATCTAACTCGTGATGTAATTCACTCAGCTCTCTGAAGGAGTCTTCACTTCGCCTCACCACTATGCCTAGCTATTGTACTCATGACTTGGTGTTTTACTCCTCCATGATATTCATTGTCTGAGCTTGGGTCAATAGGAGCCCTTTCAAACTGCTCCTATATCCTTTCTACATACTGCCATCAATTTTTTTTTTAACTTCCCTATGATAAATACTAAAATGAGAGGAAAATAAAGTGTTGTTGGGGTTTTGTTGGTATGTGCTACAGGGTCCCAGAAACAAAGTTAAAACAGGTAATCAGGCTGGAGAGATAGCTCAGAGGTTAAGAGCACTGGCTGCTTTTCCAGAGGTCCTGAGTTCAATTCCCAGCAACCACATGGTAGCTCACAACCACCTATAATGAGATTTGGTGCCCTCTTCTGGCCTGCAGGCAAACATGCAGGCAGAATATTGTATACATAATAAATAAATTAAAACAAAAAAAACTGAGCCGGGCGGTGGTGGCCCACGCCTTTAATCCCAGCACTCGGGAGGCAGAGGCAGGCGGATCTCTGTGAGTTCGAGGCCAGCCTGGGCTACCAAGTGAGATCCAGGAAAGGCGCA